CTAACAAATAAAATAAACAAAATACAAAAATAAAAAATAAATCAAAAACAATTTTTAAATTAACAAAAAAATATATTTAAAAAAATATTTCTCATGGATCAGTACAACTGGCATTTCATTTAGGAGCAACTGTTGCACAAAACTCAATACGACTGTATACAAAAATGATAATGATGCATCACTTAGAAAAAAAAGGTTCTTTTTTTAACTGACAGAGGAGACTACGATGAGAACTTTGTACATAATATGGTAGACTAAGTTCAAAGAACAAGCGACTTCCCCTGAATTCTTGCAGCGGAACCCAAAGAACAAGAACTCCAATCCCCATATTATAACCCTATCCATAAATTTTACCCTTGTGTCACTTAGATCTTGTGCAGATTATTTCCCTTGAACTGGATAACTGACAAAGAGAAATCAAAATATGTCCTTCTTGAGAGACCGAACCTAAAAAAAATATCAGAAAATACTGTCTGGAACGGCAGATGCCATTCGCCAAATTACTCGTATCTAGGGTGGGTACTAAAACCGGGATTTGTGGGGTAATGGTTAGGCTCTCTTCGCCTTTGATTGCAAAAGACTTCTGTTTGATTCCCTTTTTAACCAAGTACCGCCACTTGTCGGATGGGATGTTGTACCCAAGTCTTCTCGGGTTGGTTCCCAAAACAGAAGGTTGAATCTGCTTTCTTCTTAGGTAATCTTAAATATGTTTATTTTCCTTTTTTAGAATTTATGTTATTGTTTTTTGGGGTAAAATTTTAAGTTTTTTTGTTTTTATTTCTAATTTCATTTCATTTTTATTTTTTATTATCACTATTGTTTTTATTACTTTTTGGGTGGGGGGTACTTCAGTAATTACTATAAAGTGTCCCAAAAGTGTCTATCCCACAAATAGCACTAACCTGCCATGGGTAGGCTCCATGCTCCGCGAAGCGCCCTCCCACGATCTTGAGGAGATTAGGCTTGGCCAGCGTCCGAGGGGCGTAGAGGTCATCATCACCAGACGGCGCGCCGGAAGAGACGGGACTTCGTCTAGTCCGCCTGCCTAGTAGGTCCAGGTAGTCGTAAGGTCTTTGGCCACACTGACCGATGACTGGAAGCAAAGGGTTAACGGAACATGTTCTTACTGATCGGGTAAAAGCCGAATATAATAATCGCAAGCGTTGATGGACAATGATTTTTTAAAAAATCAAAGCAGAATCTGCGAGAATGGGTGAGTACTTGAATAAGCATTAATTTTTTCACATTTCCATAACAACGAAGAGTAGTTGTGGAACTTGCAGCAGCATTAGTAGAAACAGTAGTAGAAGGTGTAGTAGTTGTTGTGGTAGTAATAGTAATCGTAGTAGCAGCAGCAGCAGCAGCAGCAGAAGAAGAAGAAGAAGAAAAAGAAGTAGTAGTAGTAGTAGCA